TCTCACTTTCTAATGCTTTGTCTCGCTCGCACTCACTTGGTAGATGCGCCTGCGCATAATGACGCTCGACCATCTATGCCCATATTTGGACTTTGTGCGTCTCCCTTTCTCGGGCCTCGTGCCTCTCATTGCGAAGATACGCGACTAGCAATATAGAAGTATTACATATATGGATATACCGCACATTTAAAAAAAAAATAATTTTTATAAAAGTTAAACGGTGGATTTTCCCATATATATAACAAAAAGAGAGAAATATAATATTTATAACAGACTTTATTTAATAGTAGTATAAATATAATATTGTTATAATTAACAGTATTTATATATATTAAGTGTTATATATCTTATTATTCTTATATAGCAGTTGTATTCTGTGTTTGCTGGATAAAGTATGTTGTAATAAAATAAAGTTTATTATGCTTTATAGTACCTCTCATTGTTCATACGTAGCCATAACTCTTCCTATGCGCCAGAGATCCTTCGGTGTGTTTACATCATATGCGTTTCCATTGAATACATCGAAATACTTTGTCAATCTAATCAAAGCTAGTCAAAGTTTTTCGAGTCTCATCAACGTAGAAACTCTGGCGCATTACATATCATTATTATATTATTTTATATTAAATATACATATATATATATATATATATATATATATATTAGTTTTTGTATATGATTGTGCGTACGATTATTTACTTACTCTTCTCAGATTATGGGCTTCAGAGAGTATTGGATACCGACTATAGAGACTTGTAAATCGACGTTTTTATAACCTAAATTCTTTTATTTTCTAATGTTATTTATTGCACAACATTAAAAGCGCTTCTACAGAAGCAAATAAATATAAAAAAACTGTATAAAACTTTTGAAAATGGGTATATAATGCTTTTTGGAATTCTTTTTTTTTATTCATAATGATAGCATATGATACCCTATTCTGTCATCACAAATATCCTTTTTTCTCATCAACTAGACATTCTAACCATAATCTGAATGTCTAATTAGATTCTTTATCGTACTTTAAAAAATTCCGTTGTCCCCTATTATCTCGAATATAGTAATGCAAGATTTAAAAATTTCAGTTTTGAAAATCTTAAAATTTAGACCCGCTTTTTATTACCATTATGTGGATAATATTACTTTAACCGCGCCCGCCAACGATTTAAATTATCTATTGGATAATTTCAACAGATATGACAGATTAAAGTTCACGATTGAGATAAGATGGGAATTCTTTTAGACGTCAAATTGATTGTGTCTAAGGGTACGATCCCATGCACTGTTATTTTTCGCGTAACGCGTAATGCGTAACCAATCAGAGAAATTACGTGTACTAACATAAAGCACGTAATCTCTCTGATTGGTTACGCGTTACGCGTTACGCGAAAAATAACAGTGCATGAGATCGTACCCTAAGGCTGCCTTTACATGCGGCGTAACTTGCGTAAGCGTAACTTGCGCCAAACTCCGTCAGCCAATCAAATCGTTTCATCTACTATATGCATATCCGCTTAGTTATTTAACGCATTTTACGCTTTTGCCGATACGCCAAATCCAATTTTTCACGTAAATCGGTAATGCATATGTATTAGTGATGTGTGTGTACGTGCGATCACCAAGTATTGTAATGTAATTTGACTCACAAAAATTAGAAAAAATGGATCAAATTCAGGTAAGGTAACAAGTTCTAAAACATTCTATATAAAGTTTCTAAAAATAATATATTTGATACTTGAACATAATTCGGTACATTGCTTGCACAGTATGACAAGATAATTTTAAGGTTATGCCTAATAATTAGTATTATCTGTTATTTGCATGTCTGGATTAGTTTTAGCACTCTGCTGCAGCTTATACATTTTCACTTACATTTTTTTTTTAATACAGCATAAATGTGAATACTGCGGATGGCTTTTTAGTTTCAACACAAACTTTGTTGATCATAACTGCTTTAAACATTATATTGAAGAAGTAGACCACGTTAATATTGACGAAAATCATGTCGTGACAATACATATGTGACTTTTTAAGTTNGCTTCGTTCCATTAAATAAATGAAGTACTTATGTATATTATACTTAACAGTTGAAAAAAAATCCAATGGTTGACAGAAAAGAAAATTTGGATGAACTATTAATCGAAGCAGTTAGAAGCAAACGTGGGCTGTATGATTCTTGTATACCTGCTTCGGAGAGAACTATGTTGCGCAAAAATGCATTATGGATGGAAGTTTTGAATATACTACAAGGTATATTTTACTATCTAGAAGGACTTTTCTTTTATTTTTCTTATCATATAGTAAATAAGTTTTAAAATCAAAGTATATTATTTATCAAGGATTTCTCAGTCCAGAGAAAGCTAAAGCTCGATGGAAGTATCTGTGAGATAATTATATAAAAGCTCGCAAGAAGATTCGAGCATACATACCCAGTAGATCGGCAGCTACTGCTACTAAAACCAATAATAACTCGAGGTTTCAATATTATGAGCTTATGAGATTCCTGAACGAATCATTGCAAACACGACAGTAAGTTCTTATTCTTTAACATTCACATGTACATCACTTTTATTGTTTGGTAAGAAATTGAAGAGAGTATGTNACATGTGTGATCCATTCATTAATAAATTTTAGGACAGTAAGTTCATTACCAGATGCCAGTGCTAAGAATGAAGTAGTCACTTCATTTGACACAGAAAATGAGCAACACAAAAGTAATGCTATAGCTGGACCTTCGAAAGCGCTTCACACACAGATTTCAG